CCTGCTCCTAACAACAGCATTACTGTCACAGGTTTTGCAATCATCTCTGAAGCATCAGACCTGTCCAAAGAGAGCAGCAGTACCAGCGTATTGGAGAAATTTATTTCCACAAGTGTCTCACAATAATGAGGATTTGGCGCTGGCATGCTCCGTTTAAGTCATCCTCCTTCCCTGCTTCCTCCTTTTGCCCTCCTCTTTTGATAGAGCAAAGAAAGGCGATGATTTTGTGAGAGAATCTGGTACATTGTCCTTCAAAATCAGAAGGTGTGTGGTCTTTTCATCTTCATTTTGGAATTTATATTTTCTGACTTCTGTGTACGTATGGCCTCCTGGCAGTGCCTGAGAGATGTTTTTGGCACCATTAGTTTCCAGTCTTTGATGGAATAATAACATCGTACCATCACCTGAATTGATAATTACCTGGCCATATACAGTAGCATTTTGAAGGGAGGTCAAAACAGTACAAAAAAATAAGGTTTTGTTCTCCTTTCTGCACTGAACCAATGGACAACTTCATAATTGATCAACTTCGATGTGAGCAGCACAGAGGTGTATTACAGTCAGCTGCCACCGACGCGTGCCCTTGGAGATTAACGAAAAAGCTGCAAAATCTCCCTTGTTTGTATTTTCACAAATAGAATAAAGGTTTCACAAATCTGAAACTGTGTTATAAAGAATCTTTAGACCCTCTGGGATAATCCAGTCCAGATTTGATGAGTCTAGGTCTAGTGGTTTTAGATCAGGACCTGGTCTAATGTGGTCTAGATTTTAAAAAAGCTGCAAAATCTCCCTTGTTTGTATTTTCACAAATAGAATAAAGGTTTCACAAATCTGAAACTGTGTTATAAAGAATCTTTAGACTCTCTGGGATAATCCAGTCCAGATTTGATGAGTCTAGGTCTAGTGGTTTTAGATCAGGACCTGGTCTAATGTGGTCTAGATTTGAAAAAAGCACTGAAATCTCCCTTGTTTGTATTTTCACAAATAGAATAAAGGTTTCACAAATCTGAAACGGTGTTATAAAGAATCTTTAGACCCTCTGGGATAATCCAGTCCAGATTTCATGAGTCTAGGTCTAGTGGTTTTAGATCAGGACCTGGTCTAATGTGGTCTACATGTGAAAAAAAGCACTGAAATCTCCCTTTTTTGTATTTTCACAAATAGAATAAAGGTTTCACAAATCTCAAACTGGGTTATAAATAATCTTTAGACTCTCTGGGATAATCCAGTCCAAATAAATCGGCTATGCAGCGATTTAAGAGGTTCAAACACGGAGGATTTGTTCGTAAATTAAATGTCCCTTAACTTTCCCCTTAACTGCCGAATCGGATGCTCTGAATCGGAAGCCAACTTCAGCGTCGTCTACTCAGTTACCAAACCGGCAAGCTGCTCCTGTCCTCAATCATTTCTTGCTGACAGACGCTGAGCTCTGACTGTGCAATGAATTGGTTGGATTTATTTTATAACCCGGTGTGGGTACTGTCCACGGCTGTGCTGGCGCTCGTGGTGCGGATCCAGCGCAGAGGGAGCTGGGACCCGCAGTCCTGTAGCGTGCGGCTGAAGGGGAAGACTGCCATAGTGACAGGAGCCAACACAGGTCGGTCCATTTCAATTTTAACGCGTTCATTCTGCAGGACTGTAACAAGGGTTTGGCATGCACTAACGCAAAGTTACCAATATTAATGTGGCAAAAAGTCAGTGTTAGTCAATGGAAAGTCCTGTTATTAAATATGTTTCCCTCTTCCTAAAACCTGGTTCAAGCGTTTCTTTGAACAGCAGTTTGGACTTTGTATTAAACAGGGAATGCCATTGGGAGGAACATTCTGATTCTCCTCTGACCGTGAATTTGGCCGTAAACAGTCTATGGGTTTAACAAACTATTAAAAGCATGTGTAGTAATTTTCCGTAATCAATAAAAAAACAAAGAGTGTAAAGGTCAGGCTTTTTTGTGATGATTAGACTGCTAACAGAGAATATATTGACGGATTCAATTTGACTGATCAATAACTCAAATTGGTCTTGAAACACAAACGACAACTCCAACCGCAGTAAGGTTTAAGCTACAATCTAATTTTCATTTAAAAAATCAATAAAAAAAGTCTATAAGCCGCGTCTTTCTCCAAGGCTAACGGACACACAACAACCACAAATACTCAATAAAAATACTCAATGTCAGGCCGTGCAATGCTACCATAATCACTTCAAACATTAATGGTTTCCTAGTGGTTGTACAAAACTCTATCTGAATCATTTTGGAGATTTTATTTTGTGGAAAATGTTCAAAACCCACCTGTTACCAGAATCACAAATTGTCTCATTCTGGTTTAACTACATCAACAAGTTGGAAATAATATTACTTTCTGCATCATTTCGGTGATTTTTTTCTTTTGGTAAACATAATAAAACTCCACTGTAATTTAATGCTACCAAAATGGTTTCACATTTCAACGTTGTCTTGTTGGTTAAACTGAAAAAATATGCATTTGCTTAGTCATGGTTAACATCGTTAATGGAAAATATTCAATAGCTTAAATGTTATACAGTGAAGGGTGGCCACAATCTCTTCATACATTATTGTTGTTATTATGTTTGTTGTATTACAAAAAAATATTGGTGGAATTTTCAATTACGTTTATTGTTCTTCTCATTATGGTCTTCTGTTGGTTTGACATGGGAAGCACTACACTGCAAAAACGTGATGTTACAAGAACATTTTATACCAGAAATGTTAACCCAAATCAGCATATTTCTTCAGAACTTCAGCAGCAGCATATTTGAGCTTGTGGCAGTAATTGACAATATTGATTCAGCTCATCAGAGAAGTTGTGGTTTCTGAACCAGTTCTGTTGGTATGTCAACACAATGCAACCATCACCTTGCCACCTTTTCTCATAAAACTTGTATGTGTTCTCTTCTGCCTCACTTACAGTACCTATAACCTATCTGCCCAGGTTATGCATTGAGATCAAACAAGACAGAATAACTTCAGACGATTTTAGTTGGCAGAAAATTCTTCATCTAACTGGCACCTGGGCTCAAAATTAGATGAATACAGCAGTTTAGTGACAGGATGAAACTTCAACCCTGCAAACATGGCAATTTGTGACCACTTGAAGCCCGGAACTGAGTCTGTGTAAACATGAAGAATTTTCTGTAGGATGATAAAATAGAAATAATTTCTCCAGAGGATCAGATTTTAAGACCTCTATTTAAAACGAGCAATGGACAAGGGCTTAAAACGCCAGCACAAACTGGTAACTTTTCATATTCCACTTTTAAGACACCAAACCTGTCGGAAATCACTTGAGGATATAGACTCAAGGAACTTGACATGGTAGACACAGGGAGTACCTGCAAACTCTGCAAACATAGACAGGACTTAGTCACTTTTTTTTAATGAAAGCATAAAAGGACAGATAACCAACCCTACCTGTTTATTTAGATTTGATGACAGTACACAACCCCAGGCTTGCATTTATTCCACAAAACCACATGACTGAACATGCTTAAAATAGAGCTCTGAAAAGCTGATGTTATCACGTATTGAAAACCAAAGTTGTGCTCTCTTTGACTTCTAGGAATTGGGAAGTTCATTGCCTTGGACTTTGCACGTCGCGGGGCCCGTGTTATTCTGGCCTGCCGAAGCCAGGCCCGGGGGTCAGCGGCGCTTGAAGAAATCAGGGAGAAAACCGGAAACTCTGATGTGCACCTGCGTCTGGTGGACGTGTCTTCTCTGGACTCGGTCAGGGAGTTTGCTGAGGGGATTCTCAAAGAGGAAGAAGCGCTCCACATCCTTGTCAACAATGCTGCAGTATCAGGTGACAACATGCTTTATTAGCAAAACTGGAATTATAAGTAAGCAACCACAACTTTTAACAAGAGTTACTGATTAATTCCATTCAGTATAAAAATGCAATACAACAGACAATATGTAATATCATGCTATCGGAATTCTACTCAATCTTAAAGGTATACCCCCTGGACATTTCGAGAATCATCAAAAAAAGATAATTTGGACAAAAAGATGCTGTATATTTGGGCTAAATCAAAGATTGAAAACGTTATAATGGACTCAAATACTCATTCCACAATGGAAAAATCAAGTCACCATATGTTACACATCTGGAAGTAAAGAAAAGACATGCCTGTTGGAGTCTCTAACCAAAATACTTTTGCAAACTGACACCCACTGCTATTTATAAGACAACTAGCCATACTACAAACAGACCCAGCTCAAAAATGCAATATAATGTGATGCCAAATCAGCAACAAGTTCGTTTTGAGAAAACATTATGTCCTCATGACCTTTACAGTATGTTGGTGAACTTCCATTTCCATAGACTGAATAGGTCGATGTCCTGTTAACAAAAACAAGTTGAGTGTATATCGCCAACGTAATGCAAGAACAAACGGCAGGGATTTTCCTACCATTACAAGACTTTGGCAGTGTGCACTTTTGTCAAATGAGCCAGAATCCATTGTATTTATTGTTTTGGGAGTTTGTTTTTATTTGCTAACGTTTATGCGTTAAGGGTTTCAAAGCGTTTTTTCTCAAATTTCAATTCCAATGTCCGAATTGAAATGTGTGACTTAAGAATGTAAAATTAATTCTTCTTTGACAGGGTGTGCTTGCATAATATGCTGTTATGTTATCAGGATGTCAGTGTCATACTGGTCTTATAATGACAATAATGAAGTATATCTTTTTTATTTCTGGCACAATATTTCACGCAACAAAAAAGTAAATAGAGTGTGTTTATGTGTACATTTAAATCTTACCTAATTTCAATCATCAGGCTTACCTAGGGAGATAACCAAAGACGGGTTAGATGCTTCTTTTGCCACAAACCACCTGGGACCGTTCCTCCTCACCAACCTGCTCCTGGGTAAGACTCTGCAGTCTCACTTTATTAGAGAAGCTTTATTGTGGATATGAACTGACTCACGGGTCATTCTTATGTAAATATTTATGATTAACAACATATTTATCTCTGCTTCTTTTCCCTTTTCTGACTCACTCCAGACCTGATGAAGCGTTCTGCTCCGGCACGCATTGTCACCCTCTCTTCGGTCAACCACAAGAAGGGCGAAGTGGACTTCTCTCACTTTCGCGGCGAGAACCTCAACTATTTCATGGATATTGTCTACAACCACACGAAGCTGCACAATATCATCTGTACCAACGAGCTAGCACGCAGGCTAGAAGGGACAGGTAGGGTCAAATGAAGATGTTTTTAGGATTATCAATCATCAGTATAGATAATGCATGGGCTTTCCTGTTGAACAAGTGCTACAAAAAGTCAAGTCTGGGTTTTCAGAAGCAATGAAGATCAGTAAATAACACCTCGGGAGAAATAGAAGAAATTCACCTTTTCTATATTGTAAGCTGTCTTTTGGTTGTGACCGGACATTTACTAAACGCTTACTTAAGACTGCGTGTGACTTGTTTTTAAGTACTAGAAGAATTGTCAACCTTTACTGATCACACATCTAAGTGTATTTATTTCAGCCATTTGAACTTATAGTTAGTCATCCTAAATGAAGCAGATGAAAGCTTACAGGCATTCTTTTAGCAAAACAGCTGAAACTAATTTGTGTGTGTGTGTTTGTGTGTGTGTGTGTGTGTGTGTGTGTGTGTGTGTGCGTGCGTGCGTGCGTGCGTGCGTGCGTGTGTTTGTGTATGTGTGTGTGTTCATGCAGGTGTCACCGCAAACTCCGTCCACCCTGGTATTGTCACAACTGAAGTGTTGAGACACTATCCCTGGGGTGTTCGTTTTCTTTTCAACCTCATTGGATTTTTCTTTTTCAAGGTCAGTACTGTGTTGCATTATACGTTGCAGAGTCAATGTCCAAATTCCTGTCTCCACTGTCTTCATGTCTTGCAACCATCAAGGTAGAATGTGATTGATTAATGTTCAGGATCATCCTTTTGTTATATGAAGCCACTCCACTAGTTGGCTGCTTTAGAGGTCAAAGACTTGTTTGGTGAATCAATATTGTGAATTTGTATTAAGTCAATCATCACGCTGATCGTCTGCTTGCTCACATAGAGAGGCAATAGGTTTATTTACAAGAAAACTTGTGTTATATTTCTTTAACTGGAGGCTAGAAATACCACAACTGAACCTTTCACTATTAAACATGTAATATATTTGGGAACTCCTTGACATAAAATAACAAACCAGCATCCATATAAAGTAGGGCATCTGGATTTAGAATTAAAAGCCACCATAGGCTAGAACTCTAATTAGAAGTCAGGATGTTTGGAGTTGACATTTTGGAATAATTGGCTAAGACACTGTGTCTACTCTGCAGTATAAGATATGTTATTAAGATTAGCTCTGACAGCCAGGACTGAAGGTCAATGTGCAAAGATGACTAGCTGATCACATCAAAGTAATACTACATGCTTAATAGTCCATTTGCGTTTCACATCTGGTAGTATGAACAGAATGGTTTCATCATGCTTCCAGGAAAACTTTTGTTTTCATTACAGGCTTTGTTCCAGACCAACAAGTCAGTGAGAGTCAGCCCTTAAAACAACAATTTGGAATCATAACAACCTAGATTTATATGTTGAAATTAAGTTGCTGTGATCTTGGAACATAGCGTCTTTACTTAAAAGTTCAAGAAACTCACTGTCACCAGAAATCAAACAGAAATGGGTTTAAACAAGTCAACAATGTACTATATTAGGAAACGTGTATGTTTTTGTGGGTGAAACTGGAGGAGAAGGCATTTTAATTGGTCCCTCTGGAAAACTGTGAGCATTTTAGTATGGTACTTGTGAATGTTGGACTGTTGAATTTAGATACTTGAAATACTGTGTAGATGTACAGTACTGCATATACCATATCAGCAAATCATGTGTTCTTAAATATACAAAGTAACTAGTAACTGTTAGAGTTAAAATAAATGTGGAGTATAATATTTGCCTCTGAAATGTAGGAGAATAGAAGTATAAAGTAGCATTACATGGAAATACTCAAGTACAGATATGTCGAAAAAGACCTTGAGTACATTACTTGAGTAAATATACTTGGTTACTTTCTACCACTGGTCAAAAGTAACCAGCTTTCACATCTGGAATCCATTTACCCGTCTTTGCGGTAGGTCTGTTTCTGTTTTTTTTCAACCATTCCAAACTCTTCTCCTTCTCATGTTCATCTGTGTGTATCTAAGCTTAACATCTGGTTATACTATACACACATCAGTGAGGAGATAACTTCTTGGCTGCATATCTGAACCTGCGCAGATAATATCTGTCCTTTCTGTTGACTGTGCTCTCACATTGTTTCCTTCACCACTCTTGTGTTCCTCTCAGAATCCAGAGGAGGGTGCAGTCAGCTCGATCTACTGTGCGTTGGCAGAGGAAATGGAGGGGATAACTGGGAAGTATTGTGACTGCGACTGCCACTTGGTCCTCCCCGCCCCTTTAGCTCGAGACGCTGCCCTCGCGGTCAAGGACTTTGAGATCTGCGAGAGGCTGACATCAAAGCTCTGAGACAACTATCAGGCAAGCGGAGGGTTGATAACAGAAACAGGGTCAAATTCCACCCTCACTTACTGCACCTCTTGAGTGAACATTTGTGACCTGATGTGCCTTTAAAATCATCAGGAGATGTTTCTGAATACAATTTGATTGAAGTAATTTTAAACTCAATTAAAAAATTGCTTTTTGTTTTTTTGTGAACACTATACCAAATATGTAATGTCGATTTCATTCAGGTTTGATAACCAGTTAAATAAAAAGGGGTTTCGTGAGACATGCTGACATCACGCGGCCAACAATACTTCCATTCTTCTTCAGAAAATGAAAACAGAAGTTCAATACAGTATGTGAACATTCACTTCCATTTTATTGGATGATTCATTAAAGCATAATAATACATTTGAGCATTCAGTGCTTTTTGAAGAGTTTGTACAGCGTTCATCCCCTGGTGTCTTCACCCTGGCTATTTGGCTGTGGAGACAGAGATAAAGAAAGAACAGCATAAGGTTTTGATCCAATCACTATCACTTGTAAGTGTGTATTATGAATATGTTTGAATAATAAAAGAATATACAAGGCCATGTTGTACTGTAGGTTTGCTTTTTTTTAATAGACTGTCCATCTTCTTAAACACTTTACCTTTCTGACGTCCCTCCACTATATCATGGATGATCTCTTCGAGGACCGGAGCAACCTGAGCCAGCTGTTCGGGTGAAAGACGGATGGCAATCTCCACAGTTTTATCCTGGACAAACAGAAGAAGAAGTGTTAATGGCCTGTATTCAACGACATTTCTGTGGTGAAAACAATATTGTGGGTCAGAGGTGTGTGTGTGTGTGTGTGTGTGTGTGTGTGCTCACAGGATTGCCATGTTCCACTTCAGGAAGCTGTTGGACTGTAACCTCTTCAAACTGACCGTCCTCTGATCGAGGCTCCATGTCCTTTCTACCTTCTCTCTCCTGCAGAATAAAAACACACATTTACACAACAATAAAAACCTACTGTCATACAGTTAGGAAAAACAAACGTGAAAGAAAATGGAAAACTACAATGAGACAGTTTGGACTTCTAATGACATCTCCTTTCATTCTGTCTTTGTCCAGTATAAAGAGCCACAACGCTTACAGAAATCCCTCTAACAATACTACATGTATAGTTTGTCACCTTCACACTGATTCTGCACTGCAAGAACATCTGCTTGACCTGTTTCTCTAACTTAATTATTCATACTTTGCAAAATTAAAGTATCCAACTAGACATCTCAAACAAAATATTAATCCGGATTTGATATTCCATCTTTCCAGTTGGATAACATTGACTCACAGTTGAAAAAAGTGGAGATGTGTTTTCATTAGCAAGAATAGATTACTATTAATTTATGCATGTTATTCTATTCATTGATTAGTTTTTTGGCAATGAAATGTCTTAAACGAAACAGAGATGTGTTGTTGTCCAATTAAAACCCAAATATCGGGGCGAATCTCATAACTGAGAAACTGATATCAAGTAAATCCACAGGACAAAAAAATTGAAGAAAAAGCTCTTATGAGAGTTTAGTGGGAGTATGAGTGCGGTGACATCACAACTGTGACTCAGGCTCTCCGTCCAATCAGACACGAGCTGCTTACCTTCATCAGTATCATCTCTTTGGGACTGAAGAAGGTGATGTGTCCCTCCGTCCTCTCAGCCAGCAGCACCACTAGGCACGCCAGCACCAAACAACCTGTCACTGCTCCACGCATGCTTATTCTGCTCTGTTCTGGACACACACACACACACACACACACACACACGTTCAAATACAAATACATTACATATAAGCACACATGCAGAACAATGTTTCCACACCAACATGGGGTGGCACTGAGGCCAAATCACTTACATAATTTTCTTTTAGCAGTTGGAAAGAGTCAAAATAGGTCAAACAAAATCTAAATTAGACAGTGAGTGTGTGTGCCAGATAACTAAGTTTAGAGTAACAAGGACACATGTCATTATGCAAGGGTCGACAAATAGTTGATAGAGAAAGAAAGAGGCCGGGGTTAGTAGGTGGGGGGGGGGAGGCGTGGAAGTAACAAACAACAGGCAAGATAAGAGAATGAGTGGACCAGCCATACTTACAACAACAAGACAGCTCTGGACACAATGTAAGACAGGAAGTCGCAGAGAAGAAAGACAGGAGCAACAGACAGCGGGGGTTAGAGACTGGAGGGAGAGTGAGAGGAGAAGACATATGTTACTCACGTGCTGTGTCAGCTTTGGTCAGTTGTTTAGGGAAGTGTGCGTTAGGATGAGCAGGGCTGAACTGTTCTGAGCGTCTGCTTTTCCCGGGCAGCCTTTATACCGAGCCCTCTCCTGATACCTGAGCTTTTACTGACCTCCCTCACATCCGCTCCTCAACAGGCTCCTTCAGCACTCTCCTCCATGCTCCTGGAAACGCACATATTACTCAGGAATCTGGCTTTCGTATTAGTTATTAGGGTAGTAAGCCTGCCATGCTGTTACTTAGTTGACCTTTAACACGAATGACAATAGGAGACATTGATGAGAAAAAGGAAAAGGAAGATCAATTTAAAAGATAAACCACAGAAGAACAACTTGGTTAAAAGTGAATGTGTGATTTTTTCATGGGTTAAAGAATAAAAGTATTAGACTAAAATGGCTCATTATGCTGTATGGACTGATTCAGGGAATTTCTCAATTATACTTTTTAATATTATTTCTGCGTTACACAGATGGATATCCACAAAAATAGTACATAAATAAAAAATGAAAAATATATATATTAAAATAATCAAATCAATATTATCTAAAAGCACAAAAAAGCAGGAATACATAAATAAAAAGTGTTGAGGCTAAATTAAAGTGAAATCTTTATACATCATTCAAATGTCAATGTCGGAGATAGTAAAGGACTTATTTTAATTAACTTATATAAAGTGTTAGATAGAGTTATCAAATATATGTAGTGGAGTGGAAATTAAAAATGTTTGTCTCTGAATTGGAGTGTAGTAGATAGTAAAGTGGAAAAAAGTGGAAAACTCAAGTACAGAACTTTGGTAAAAGTACTAAAAGAAACTTGTCGCATTTTGACTGGGGGTTTTGTGTGAGCTACAGGACACATGTGTTCCTCACATACTGAAAAGGGCTGATATGATAGTGAAGTGTTACACAGAAATCTCTTCTTATCATGCATGACAGCAAATAAACACATTTTCCGGAATTTAACCTTCAAATGAAGAAGATAGAACTAATTCATTCATAACTCATTTTAAAACCGACTACTGCTAACTGAGAAGCAAAGCTTAATCTGTGCCTTTCAGTCACCAAGTTATATATGGAAAAAAATTATAGCAAGTAAGATGCTTGAATTTGATTGCACATAATGTGAAAGTACCGTCATATTTTTCATTAAAAATGATAAATGTGGGAGTTTTTTATGTAAGATTTTGAATGATCAATTGATGATAAATGATTGGTAGATTCATTTAATAGTAGACAGAAAATGAATCTTAAACTGTTTTGAAACTGGAGTGATACTTTTTTTTTTAAAAGGTAAAACAAAATATGCACTGGTTCCAGCTTAATACAGTATACTGGACTTTAAATCTGTGTGTGTGTGTGTGTGTGTGTGTGTGTGTGTGTGTGTGTGTGTGTGTGTGTGTGTGTGTGTGTGTGTGTGTGTGTGTGTGTGTCATAAATGTTCTGCTCTTAGCGAATATCCAACACAATGTGACATTTATGACAAGCCGTTGATGTGCAAACAGACCCACATGCATCCGTTCCTCGGTAACATCATGGCCCTAAAGAACTCTAGCAATGCTTTTCCTACAAATAACAATTATCGCTGGATATATTTATTACTATTTCACCCTGCAGGAGTGGACTATTAAAAGTATAGCCACCACTGTATCTTGTTTAGTGCACTTCAATGACACAAGCACAGCTTTGTATCTCCTCTGGCACTTCTTGTAACGCCACAATGACGCATAAACCATGGTTACATTTTTTCATCACCTAACAAAAGTCTCTTTAAAGGTTTCTCTTATGTACACGTATAGTTGATTTGCCTTTAGCCATATAAAGGGTTCAGCGCTTTATTTCAAACCCAGTTGGAGTAGCCAAAATCAGTGCACATGTCTTAAATACTGCTCACTGCACTGACTGAGTACTACCGTTGGATGTTTCCGTTAAAAGATAAATCTGTCAATATTCTATACATTCTTAATAAATTAAAAAATGACAAATTCCCAACAAAGACAAATAAAGTGGTTAATTAATGCAATTGCCAATTATTTGAAACTGGAGGAGAAGGCAATGACAAAATATGTGTCTGCAACTGTTGTTATCATTTATTTAACTTTTAATTATGTTTTAAAAAATGCAACCATCAAAACGGAACTGGTTTCAGCTTCAATAATCGTAGATATTTAAGCAAAAGTCAAAATTATGAATATTTAAAGTGCACCTATCATGCTAGGCAATAGCATAGGTCTCAGATATATAAAAATATAACATGTCTATGAAGTGACAAACAGATCACCCATTCTAGCCATGCCTCATATCCCTCTATTTCACTTCCTGTTTCAAAAGTGCTAATTTGGGGTATAAAGCTTTAAAGAAGAAAAGAAAAAGGGGGCTGAGCTCATGAGGGAGATTCTACCGGAAGATTCTGCGGTGATGAAACGCCATATCATGGATTATCAAGGATTATTTCTGAAACAGTATGGAGCTCAAAGGCTTTCTCTCTTGCCGGTTATACCACAAGATGAGTTCTTTTTTATTTCCTGCTTCTTCACACACATGCTCTGTGCAGTACAGGTTAGCTCTGAGTGTTAGCGATGCTAATATAAACATGCACCGACCATATGTGACCCGCTCTATCGAAATCAGTTGAAAGTCGCAACGGCTCATTTCAAAATAAACGTGGGTTTGCGTAAAAAAATAGTTTTTCGGGGTTCGGGTGTTTTGTTTGATTTTAAACAAACAAAGTCTTGGCTTTCAGAATATTAAACTTGTTTCGGCAAATTCTGATGATAAATACAACTTTGAAGCTTGTAACGGCATAATTACAAGCAGAGAAAGGAATAACTTGACGTCACAGCTGGCATAACAACAGCCGGTGTTTCTCGTGAGTGTTTTCCCCGGGAAACAAACACAATACACACAAACGCAAAAATACAGAAACACACATGTATACTCACAACACACACTCGCGAGCTTCCCCCAGACCAGAAATCCAAACGAAAATATCTTCCCTCCGTAGTATTTTGATAATTTGCTCCGCTAATAATCAATCAGATCGATGGATTCCAGAGAAGAGGAAATTTGAAGGCCTTTTTCTCAAAATGATGACTCGGTGATAGTCATTATATAATGTGACATATTTTGCTTAATATTTGGAGTACAAAAACAATCCTGATATCATTAGAAAGCTAGGAATCTCCTCTTTCCAACTGTGTATATATACAACTCAAATTGTGTCTGCGGGTCAATGCGACTAATTTCGATGGAGCAGGTCACATATTACGTCCAAAACAGTCGGCACTGTTTCTGATAGCAACGTTTCTGATAGGGCCTTGGGTGTAAAGCCAGCCTACATTTCCGATATTACGTCATATTGGACGGAAATCTGGATCAGTTCCGTTGTAGCCCCGTTTTTAGAGATTTGGGTACGGAGGAAAAGAGAGAGGGTTTTATTTTCTGGCGCTGCGTGAGTTCCCCGATACACCGGGGACACATGTTTATGTATAAAATACATCAAAAAGTGCATTTTGCATGATAGTTCCCCTTTAAGTAAATATTTTTATTTTGATGTTTTTTGAGTATACTTGTCAGACCAAACAAGATATTTCACCATGAACCTGAATACTAGACTTGCATGTGTCCTACAAATGTAAAAAAAGAGAACAAAATCATCAAACTTCACTAGATAACAAATGACTTCAGTAATTCTTTATCATTACTAAGTCCCAGAGAAACATCCTGCTGCCAAAAATACACACTAAAGCACCTTTGCTCATTTATTTGTGGCAGAAAATAGTCCCCAACAAATGCGCTGGTATGAGTTGTATTCACTAACATCTTCACATCTCCCTCACTCTCCTGCCGCACCTGTTAGAATCTGGCTAGAGACAATCAGCCATGAGTGAAAACACCTGTGCGGCCCAAAACATTTATAGATGGGCTACAGTGCAGTGCCACATACAGAGGAGAAAGAAAAATATCCAGTCATCGTAAATAGTAGGAAGCTGACTTTCTGCTCTCTCTCCAGCAGGTGCTGCTTACCCACACGGCCAGGTCTCGCGTTGTTTGGCTGTTCCCGCGGTATTTAAGTCATGTGGTAGTCTGCTGAAACGTGTAGCAGCAGTCTTTTCTTTCGGTGTTGGAGCAGAGCAGACGCACACTGCTGAAGAGATTCACTAACCATGGTAAGTACTGGTGCTGGGTGTCTGATTTACAAAGTGTGTTATTGTAGGATACAGCTGAATGCTTTAAAACAAAGATGTAATAGAATTTAAGGGTAAAAAGGGTGTTTTACATGTTTACTGTTCAGTTCAAGGCCTTTTAACATGTGAGGCAGCTAGCCACCCATGTGGCTAATATTAGCTGGGAAATGCGTCATTAAGTTTAACTATTCAGGCTCTCACTGTATATAGTTGATTTGAGATCATTTTGTACGTTGCAGTGATTTTTCAATTAAAGCAGTGGCATCGGCACATTATTGATCAGTTTGATCCTATGTAAATGTAAGCATCGCTGCTAGCCTAAATTAGCTCGGATGCACTTTTTTCGCAAGGGCCCAGGTCAACACGTGGGTCCAACATGGCGACAACGTGGTTACGTCTGCAACTCGTCCTATTGTTTATGGGCTAATAACATAAATAACCAAATCAACGCTTATGAATTATTTCATTTAAATGCCACATTGTGCATATCCACATGCATTTAAAACTTAAAACACACAATGTCCCCTATTTGCCCACTCTGGACTAATACATGTCCTTAGTGATTAACACAGGGGGGCAAATTGAATCTCTCATAAACCTGTAGTGAAGGAACACCGTCCTCTCTGCGGATCCTGTCGGGAGAAACAAACAAATGCAATGACTTGTCAGTGAAATCTCTTTGGTTGTGTTCAACCTACTGCACAACATGGTTAATGGCGCTGGTAGTAAACCTCTGCTTAACACCTTTTCTTAATCTCTCATTCAGGTATGGACATCTCACCCATTGATCTGATCAACATTGAGAGATTCTCCACTCGCGTGGTGGCTCTGGCTGAATATCGACTTGGGCTGCAGGAGTACCTGCGCTGCAAGATGGCCCAAGTGGCCCCAAATCTGGCAGCTTTAATCGGAGAAGTGGTGAGTTAAAGTTTTATTTGTACCGTATACAAATTACTCGAGGACCAATGATGTTTTTACCAAATCTGTCAATCCCCTGAATCTCTGTGTTGATACTTCCGGTCCTGATGGTCCTCCTGAGTAATCAGTTTCTCACGGTAACCCCACCAAAGCTCTGTTAGTCATTGAGCCCGAATGCCCTTTTCTTCTTCAGGTTGGAGCTCGTCTGATCTCCCATGCCGGCAGTCTAACAAATCTCGCCAAATACCCAGCCTCCACCGTCCAGATCCTGGGAGCAGAGAAGGCCCTGTTCAGGTACTGGGGCACCCCCTCCCTGCTGGGGAATAAAGTGGCTACAGTGATGGCAGGGCGGGGCAGGAACCGAGCAGGGTGACTGGAGAGGGCTAAGGTCTCCTCCAGAGTGATCCCTCTCACCCAATGCACCCCCACAGTCTGAGCAGCCACTCAGCACTGAGGTAGAACATCTGATGCACTAGTTAGACAAAAACACAGGAACTAACATTAAACTAATCAAGGAACTGACCTCCAACAATAACATGTAATGTTACAAGATCGATGAGCCAATTTATTTCAAATAAGTAGTGAAACTCAACTCTGACAATTTGTGTAAAAAAAGTGCACGTAGTAATTTCTTAGCGCTGTATTGGTGTCCTCGGTTGTAATGATGTATCAATCTGTCAATCCACTGATTTCCTGTGCTGACAACTTCCATGTAACCCTGAACAACTGAGGAAAGCCATTAGAAATTTGCTGCAGAAACTAGTTTAAAGAAAATATATTTTCCAAACAAATATTAAATAATTCATAGAAAAACACAGGGGTTTCATGTTTTGACAGTTTCTTGTTTTAACCTTGTTTTTATTGTCAAACAGAGCATTAAAGACCAAAGGGAACACCCCCAAGTACGGCCTGATCTTCCACTCGACGTTCATCGGGCGCGCTGCAGCCAAGAACAAAGGCCGCATCTCCAGATATCTGGCCAACAAGTGCACCATCGCCTCCCGCATTGACTGTTTCTCTGGTGAGTTACACGGCCTTGTTGAATTTCCTGTGGCATTATTGCAATGATGTTTACATTTTTCGTCAACAGTAGTCATCCTTCGGGTTGGTGGTGATAAGCTTTATTCTGAGCAAAGCCACTAAGTTGCTCAACTGCTGTAATTATCTTTACAATTTTTGATTTATTTGATGTCTTTGCTTGCAGAGGTACCCACAAGTGTGTACGGTGACAAGCTGCGCGGACAGGTGGAAGAACGCTTGTCTTTCTATGAGACGGGCGATGTGCCACGCAAGAATCTGGATGTCATGAAAGAAGCTGTGAAAGAGGTGAGCTCAGAGAACCAGTCGCAGCCGTGTGCTACACACGCTACGCATAGATCAAATGTATACAAAGTTCAGAGTCTGTTAATGCTGTGGATGATGACAAGCTTTGTCCTGACCCTACTGTGGGGGTACAAAATGATTTAATGAGCCTGACGCAGCATTAGGATATAGAAACGATGAAAAGAAATACAAGCCAGTTTGCAACCATCTAATGTTTTTGTTTTCTTGTCTTAGGCTACTGACGTCGCAACTGAGATCAAGCGGAAACTTGAGAAGAAGGAAAAGAAACGCAAGAAGCGTGAAAAGAAGATGCAAGAAGACGCTGGCGAGACCAACGGTGAAGCTGAGGTAAGCAGGTTGGATGTAGTTTCAGGACGCGCGTGTTTTGATTTGAGATTTGACCCTCACATGGTCCTCTCTCAGTGTACGACATGCTAAATTATCATGACTCCGAACCATTGGCTGGTCCCAAATAATGGACCCGATCACTGAAGTGAGTCAGACATTAGATCCACAAAGAGCAGGATACATTGAGAGCTAGCTTGGAGTAAAACATGAATATAGTTGTTAACCCTTTTTACTGTCTTGCAGGCAGAAAATGGCGACGCAGACACAAAGCCAGCGGCCGAGGAGGTGGAGATGGAGTCACAGAACGGAGCCGAGGAAACCCCACGGAAGAAAAAGAAGCGAAAATCTGAGGCCGTGGAAGTTGCTGTGGTCGAAGAGGAAACTGAAACACCTTCCAAGAAGAAAAAGAAGCGAAAGTCTGAGGCTATTGAAGCAGAGCCTGCAGAAGAGACTGAAACACCAGTGTCTGAGAAGAAGAAGAGAAAGAAGAAAGAAACCACAGACTAGAAAATGTGGTCAAAGACTGATCTTTATTTTTTTGTACAGCTTATTTTTTATCCATTTTATGCTTGATCCTACACTAGTAAGCATCTTTATGTTCCAGCTCGTTTGGCAAGTTAGACTGCAAAGAAATGATTATGACTGTGCCTTGATGTCGCTTACATTTATTTGTACTTTTGTAAATAGAGATCATTAAACTTTGTCAAAAGAGAAACTAACTGTCACGCTTTGCTTAATGCTCACTTGTATTAGCATTTTCATCAAACCTTTGCCGAGGCTTAAATCCTGTGGTTATAATGTTGTAACCTAACCAAGGCAGTCTTTAAAGCTGTTTTAAGTCCTCCAGCGCCTCTGTTACCAAAGCCCACTTGTGTATAGTTCCCCAGTGCTTAAATATAAACTGCCAATCGGTAATTGCACGGATTTGTAAAGTATGTCATCTAGCAAGTGACTTAAAAACCTTTCCTATCCTTTTCACTTCTGCAGTCTGTCACATCTTGCTTGTTTCTAAAGGCTGTCAATTGGGTCAAAAAAATCAGCCCTATTCATTATTCAGTCGAATTGTCTTGATTCCAAAGTTGTATAACATTTGAGTTGCAAATAGTCTTTGCTAGATCACATCACAAGTACTGCAGTCTTAGATTTGTCATTGTTTTGACTTTAGATCATTTTAGGTAGGAATGGAGAAACCGGGTCGAGTGCGCAAGAATTTGAAAGTACGCAGCAGAAAAAAATCTGCCCCTTCCTTACCCTCCTCCACACACCAACGCGCACATGACCAATGAGGGCACGAGATGGAACGCTGACGGGCAGATAGGCCATCCAAAATAATTGGTCGTGCTTTTTACAGCACCACGGTTTCCACAGATTACATTTTTGTATTTGTCAAAGCATTTCATGTAATCATTGCTATCTGGATGTTAAAAGCATTCCATGGAATATAAAAGTGTTTCTGAAGTGAATTGCCTACCCTAGCTTTAAGTCCTGTGTAACATTTTCTATTCCAGTAAATAAAAAAAAATGTAAGCTCTTGAAAATACTATGGTTTCCATCACTGGTGGCCTGACCACTGGAGCAGCAGTAGCTCTGTATGGTCTTGGGAACCATAGGGTGAGTCCCAGTTGGACCACAGAGAGTGTGGACTGGTATCTGCAGGTGTTCTTGAGCAAGGCACCACATCCAAACAGCTCCCTGGCCCTGAAACACTGGCAGCCCTTTTGCTCTGCCACCTCTTCAATTATTGAATATACTTATAGGTCCTGTTTATCAGGGCCGTTTCTGGGCCCTAGTTTTTACAGTTTAACTACAATGGGGGGGATCCCGAAGCCTTTAAGATCTGTGGAGATGCATCAGTTACACTTTAAGAGGAAAACAGCTAATTTCACAAAAACCAAGCAATTGAAACTTACAAAAAATGATATTAAAAAGGTAAACAATAACGCTCCTACGTCAATAAATGCAAGAGATGCAGCATTTTCTCAATGTATAATTTACATTTTTCATCTTCCTCAGACGTCACTCATTGGGTGACAGCCCAACGATGATTTGGACTTTTACCACACAAGCCACAAGCCACAGCGTTGCAGTTTAGTTGTTTATATCCTACATTTGATTTGTAAGCATATGCTTCACCACACAGGAGGGGGCTTGGCTGTCTACGAATAAAGACAGATCATTTTAATTCTCCCCAAATGTATTGAGGCTAAACCTGAACTTTCAGCTTGAGGGCCCCCTAGTGGCCGCGGGGGCCGTATGCATCTTTCTGCATAGTCCGCCTGGCCCTAATGGAAGAAACGGCCCTGCTGTTCATACATGAACATGCGAGTGTATTTCCAGCCTGTGTTATTGTAAATCTATACCAGATCGAAAAAATCTTATCTGCACAATTTGCCTGTGTCCTGACTCCTGAACATGTTGGCACAGTGGTCTCCCTCAATCATTTATATCAAATACGTTTTTCTTTGCTACTCTGCACTGAACTCAGTTTCATTGTGAGTATGAAGCAACCTGTGGGCTTAAATCCAGAAAAACATTGTGTTCTGTAAATATTGATGCCAGACCGATACAAACTGTTCAGAACTTTTAATTTGGACAACAAGGATTAAACCAATGTTAAAATGACATCAAATCCAAGGCCGGGCAGGTGAAAACCAGCCAACTAGTAAGAGTTGAGGAATGAGAGAGATGGGAGGGAAACGGGGCAGAAAGAAAAGTCAAGCTATCAACTCAAGTCACCCTCAATATAAGGATTCACAGATGCGGGAGACCAAAGTTACAAAAAAGTTTTTCTTCTAAAATAAAAAAAGGCCTTTGCCGTGAAAATGATGTGTAGAATCTATGTACATCACTCTCAGATCATGTATGCATACAAAAAAATCCACATCACAGGATGCTTGTGTTCAAGTATATTCACCAACTTCATTTCCATGATTAAGCATTCTCGTCTTTCCACATTGTTTTTTTTTTTTTTTTGAAATAAAATGTCCTTCAAAATAAAAACCAAATGCAGAATACCACATTTTATGTCCTACCAATACATATATACTGTATAAATACATACATAAATATATTTTACATACAACAGCCATAAATTTGAAAAGGGGATATACAGAGCAAAGGGGAGGGTGGGTGGTAGTGTGTGTTTTTAGCTTGTGTTGTAAAATGGTTTGTCCCTCTATGATCTCATCAGTCAGATACGCAGGTGTGGTGTTGGTGTGTGTGTCCATGATCACGCCACACACACACTGTAGATGTGGCCGTCTCAGTTGGCCCAGTAGGGGGAGCTGCCGTAGCTCGACTTGTTGACTTGGCTCTTCTGCTGCAGGCTGTTGGACTGGCCCCGCTGGTTGGGAACCCCCTGAACACACAGAGAAATACAAATGAGCTTCTCAGAAAATCACGGGTAAAAGCCTGAGCGACCATAAAGTGTCTGCGGCGGGGGTTACCTGTCCATCCTGAGCAAGATGGTGGTGCAGCAGCTGTGAGTGTGGTTGCTGGTGAGGCAGGATGTGGAGGAATGGAGCCGGTGCATAGCCTCCAGGAGCTGCTCCAGGGTTCAGAGGCCCTGGGCCCCCCAGTGCTGATGGCAGACTGAAGGGAGGAGGGGTCCCCGCATGGAATCCCTGCTTATCAAAAGACTGGAGAACAAAGATGAGGCATCAATTAATCAGGTCTTAATGATCTGTTGGTATAAACAACAACTACACAGCAAGAAACAGGGCTGGGGTTGTGAGAGGCTCACCTGCGTCTTATTGTAAACACTTCCACTGATGTCTGGCACACCCGAGTTACTGGACGTAACGGAGACGCCTAGGAGAGTTACGCACCAACACTTCTATTAATTTCATTTAATTTACTAACAGTTAAAAATACGTTATGCAGACGTGTGGAATGGGACACAATAAGCTATCCAAAGTTTGAGAATAGGGGCTTTGACACTAAACAAAACATATTTGCATTACATGTTACACACATCTAGAATCGGAGAGCGTTCAGTTCATATATGGAAACATTTACAAAAACAACATTAACCAAATTACTCCAAAACTAAACTAATCCAACCCTAACTACTAAATGTTCCCAAAAAATGTATATCATCAGTCTAAACATTGGTATACCATAAGTAAGATAAGCACAGAAACATAACAAAGGAAAATAATAGTACAAATAAAATATATTTCTTAGTAAAGCAACTTGTTTAGATGTAGTGTTAATTTTGTCAGCTATTTTTTAATTTAGTTTTAGTCTTAGTCCTGTGTCAAATGTCCTGTTAGTTTTAGTCACATTCATCTACTATTTTATCAAGTTTTAGTCGACTAAAAGTCTGAGCATTTTAGTCTTATTTTAGTCAAAGACAACTAACTATTTTAGTCTACTTTTCTAATGAAAAAAACTGTTGACATTTGAGTCTTTTTTTAGTCATCAGATTATATAGAACATTTCAGTCAAACTAGTCTAGCCAAAACCAATAATTTGTCATTTTAGTCAAATTTATTTCACAATAAGATTATATCTTGTCCTTATTTGATAAAAAACACAGGTTGAATGAAGAATGCAGCTTTGCATAGAATATCTGGTCAGGTTTGTGGTGTTTTACCTGTGTTATGGCCACATTGCTTCCCTTCTGATAAAACAATGTATTCCCTTTTTTTCTCTGCCTCATTGTAGTGAAAATGGGCCCAAATAGCTCACGACAGGCCGTGGTATATGCTCATTATATCACAGCTAAGGGGCGTGGTTCGGCCCGACGCGAAGCTTTTTTTTTTTTCTTTAAATAATAATAAGTGGCGACCCTTTTTCATTTTTGATTGTTTGTTATGTGGATTTGTAGTATTTGTGTTACTGGCATAGGCGACACAGGCGGTTGCCTAGGGCGCCAGATCTGGGGGGCGCTGCGCTGGTAGCTCTGGGAGGGAAAAAACATTTTTGACCGTTGGTGCTCATCCAAATGTTCGGCCTTGATGTAACAACATTCATAATTAAGTAAATGTAACACCCTTTTCACCCCGGTTACACGTTTAATTTGCCCTGTACGGTGGGTGCTGTAAGGGATGAAAGTGGGGGATGTTGGCTTATCAGGCGCCCGCAGCTCACAGCCAAAGTGCGAGCGCGGTAGCGAGAGAGCGAGCAAGGGAGAGGGCGCACCGGTACCGGCGCTGTTGTTATTAGAATCTGGTGCTAGCTGCGCTAACNGGGGGATATTCGGTTAACGCGAACACTGCCCCCTAAGCCCTGTTGTTGCCATTTTCCTTTCTGTTAAATAAGGTTAGTTAGACCCGAGTCTTTCTGACAGTTCAGTGTTCCGCTGGCCCGCTGTAATTAAAATGTACCGCCGCGCGCAGCACAGTCACACAACTGCTGCCCAGCCGCAGCACAGGAAATGGAGCTGCTGGGAGAAAAACTGACTATCAGATGTAACGTTATCTTTGATTATATTTCGTCTCCTCCTTTTTCGTCAACGAAAGTAAAGAGAGATTTTGGCAAAGTTTTTATTTAGTAAACTACATTTTTGTCTAGTCAACGAAATGAACACTATTTAGATGTCCCCAGCCGTTTAGGATAGTCAAGCTCTGACATATATTAACAACAGCTTTTAATTATAAAAAGACGTGTCTATTTCTCGTACCTTTGCCAGGTCCAGAAGCAGCAGATTTGGCTTGTGCCTGTGAGGAGGAGTTGTATCCTTTACTGTAGTCGACTCCTGCCGGCCCCGCTGTCAGCTCCTCGTACCCTGCGCAGGAAAACAAAGTTCAGCGCTGGAGAAAAACACATCACTTCCTGTCCAAGACAAACCCCAATACTAATAACAAAAGTGTTTATGGGAGCTCCTTGAATGAACGTCCTGTTGTGAACATTGATTGGTGTTCACTGACCTGAGCTGAAGGCGTGCTGTCCGTAGCCGCTGGGCTGCTGCTGCGTCTGCTGCTGGAAGGGGCTGGCCGAGGGGTTTCCCAGACCCAGGCCCATGCTGTGCTG